GCATGTGCATTTGCTGAGGTGTAAGAGAATGAGACCTAAGATGACAGCAACTTTTAGAGGTCAAGACAACACTAAGTGAGGCCCTCAATCATGCTGTTGAACTGATGTCAACCAGTATACCTACTGGGACTCTCTTGAGGCTCTAGCAAGTGAATGCAGGGACATTCTTGTCTGTCTCCCCGCCACTATACGAAGAGACTACTGATGACGACCTGTGATGAGCAATGTCACTTCTGGAGTAACCACTCCAATGTGAGGGAGGCAGAAAATGACTGGCACAGGAAATGAGATGGAAGACCTCAAAGAGACACACCAGAATTGGCGAGAAGATGTTATTGGTGACAGAAACAACAGAGAGGCAGTCCAGAGGGATGGCCAATCGGCTGAAAAAGGGGATGCCAGTGTACACATTAAGGCCCCCACCCCCACCCTCTGTCATAACAAAAGGGCTCATGCTAACCTAGTCACTAGTAACATGGCTGGGTCAGTGACAAACCATGCCTGGTGACCATTGACACTAGGGCATATGTGACTCGTTAGGCGTGACATCAGCACAGGATGGCCTGAAGGAAGCCGAACTTATGCTACATGGTCCAGACGGTGTCTGTGGAAGGTCTCCTGATCTTGATTGAAGTTTTCCTGACACTGACCCTGGGGTGGCCCCCATTGAAAATGTTGGTATCTGTCAGTATCACAAATGAGTTCATCTTGCAGCTGGACACCTGGGCACATACAATGCATCTGTGGACCAAGGGTGCCAAATGTTGCATCTTGCAGAGGATGAGGTATCGCTGTGGGGCTCTATGGCAGCCAGGCGATACTTGAGTGGCACTGAGTCTTGAAAGTTGGAAGAGATCCTCGCCGAGTACGGAAACGTCTTTTCTGTGAAGAGCACTGACTGTGGTCAGACAAACAGTGTACAGCCGTATAGTTATGGAAAAGACCTGACTGATTTGCCAACCCTGAGTATGCTCCCCATAGCAAGACAGGCATATGTGGGCAGGTGCTTGAGGAAATGCAACAACGTGGGGTTATCAAAGTCAGACGGCCTCAGGTCATCCTGTCATTCTTGTATGGAAGAAGGACTGGGACCTGCAGTTCTGCATAGACTACTGGAAACTGAATGTCTCTTTCCCACTGCCCAAGATGGATGACACTTGTAACATGCTTGCTGGAGCCAAATGGTTCTCAACTCTGGATCAGAAGAGCGGTTATTGGCAGGTGAATCTGTATCCAGATGAGGAGAAGACTGCGCTCTTGAATGATCAAGTGCTATGGCAGTTCAGGGTCATGCCCTTTCGCCTATGCAGCATTCCAAGTGACATTTGAGCAGTTAATGGGGATCGTCTTGAGAGGTCTCGCAGTCACATCTTGTATTTTTAGACATGATTGTGATTGGTTGAATGTCCTGAGGGCACCTGCTCAGTGTGCGGAAATTGCTCCAACAATTCCACTAAGCCTGCCTAATGCTCAATTCGGAGAAGTCCCGACACCTTCAGAAGTATGGTACTTTGGGCATATTGTGTTACCTGAGGAGATAACCACCAATCCCAAGGAGCTGTGAGCTGTACGGGAGTGACCAACCATGAAGAACAAACATAAGATTAGAATCTTCCTGGGCCTATGCACTTATTACTGGCAGTTTATTTTTGGTTTCGCAAACATTGTGAAACCTCTGACCAAACTCACGGAGGAGAAGCAAGCCTTCCAATGGATTCTAGAAGTGGAGAAGGTCCTTCAAACACTAAAGGAGGTCCCCCTGTTGTGCACCTATTCTTGCTTACGTGCAGCCAAGAGAGAGGTTCATCATTGACACAGATGTGAGTAGTGTCAAGATTGGAGGAGTGCTGTCCAAAATACGTAACGGATGGGAGCGAGTAATAGCCTGCTACAGTAAGGCGCTGAACAAGGCTGAGAGAAATTACTGTATCACATGACTGTAACTACTTGCAGTCCTGAGGATGCTAGAACTTATCCATAAGTACCTCTACAGACGAGAGTTCCACCTGTGCATTGGCCACTCCACATTAGCGTGCGTTCTGGTAAATATGATAGTACACTTTTAGTGCACTGTGGATGGGTGGCTAGTGTTTTAAGTTACTGCAGTGGAAAAATTGGTCTGCTAGCAAAAATTCTTCCCATCAAAGTTCTCAGATCTTCCAAATTCTTGTCTCAATCTCATCTTGAACTGAGAAGAGTCATTTGTGCCCATGCCTAAGAATTATATTGCTGTTTTAATTAAAACTAATGAAGGTTTTGTTAGTATCAACATAGAAAGTTGGGACATTGTCATAGCTTTCAGTGCATTTGTAAAAAGTTGTATGGCACAACAATTAATGAAAAGTAACATTACATTCTTTGCACGTATTTTATTTGAATAGGACCTCTCTTGTTAGATTATTATTTTTAAAAGAATGCTATGGGACTTCCTTATGTTGTTACTTGATTGACATTTTTTCCTAAAGTATTATTGCTGCAGCCAATTTTTCTTTATTTAAGCTTTTCTTAATGATGTATTCATAAGTACTGAGTTCTAAGGATGTAGGTTGACCTCAGTATTATATTTGGAATTAAGTTTCTCAGAACTGCACAGAAAACGGTGAAGTATAAAATACTTTATAACAGTTTTCACGATTAAAATTTGTTTCAGTGTGCTGCACATAATTTTAAGCGAAGGGATGTATGTTTTAAATGTCATTCCTCTCGGCAAGAATCAGAAGGTGGAGAAGGGAGTGCCGAAGTCAGTATGCAGCCAACTCTGAGTGAGTGAATTTGTAATCTCAGTGAGGACTTGATACAAGGGGAAGCACCATATTTCCTCATATAATTTATGCCGCCACATAATTTACACACTCCTGCTATGAAATAAATTATATACAGTATTTTTACCTTTATAAAATTTTGACTGATGCATATTATTTTTGCAGAAAATGTGATTGAAGGTAGTCAATTGATTACTTTGTCTAGGGACAGTTTTGTCGTAGTGTTGAAGGAATCCCATGCTGGAGTCTCTAGGCATGCTGTGATGCCACAGTGCCTTCATCAGCAATCCCATTTCCTATGATAATGTGTCAGTTGATCTTTATCAAAAGGGGATCTGCATCTCAGTGTTCATGAAAGAATTGCGTGGTGAAGTCAGTAGGCATGGTTGTCCCCCATGCTGCCAGATTGCATTCAACTTCAGTCACATTTTCACCAAAAATTTTATAATAGTCAAAATTTTAGAAAGGTGAATTCTCATCTCATTGTTCACCAAGGAGTCATATTATGGGAATCATGGGTGTGAATATGCATTCTTTGTTGCAAAAAATTTGTTGAAGTGTAATTACATATTCTGTGAAAATTATGTGGCCAAAATATTTATATGGGTTTTTTATCTCAGTATTCATTAAGGAATAACATCTTTTAAGTACTTGAATTTGACATATAAAATTGTAGTCTGAACTGTAGTATTCACATCATTTACTCACCACAATTTTCAGACATTCTTTCAACAAAGAAATTGCATAAATTATATAAGTAAATGTGGTGATAGTCATTTACATTGAAGAGTGCTCAGTTAAGTACAAATAGTTGCAGTATATGTGCGTCCAGTTTAGGATGAGTGTGGTTTTGTGAAGTAATGGGATTGGCAACACTGCTCATCTTCAGTGGCCTTGATTGAAAGGATACATGTGCTGTGTTGCTTCCTCAAGTGTGTTTAGCTCATAGTGCAAAGGTCATAACTTTCCATATTATGTGTGTGAGTTGTGCAGGGGGGAGAGACTTCTTATCATCCATAATCCCATAATCACCTGTGGTGAGTTGGATACAAGACATTATTACCTAGATTTGAAACAGCAGTCAAGTGTTTGGAAACCCAAAGATATGCCTTCACCAGTGAAATTTCACACAGCACCATTGCCAGGAAAAATGGTGCATGGTATTTTATTTACTCAGTTTTTCAGCACTGCCTATTTTGGAAGCAAACTGTGAATGGAATTTGTTATAGATATACACTTAAAATTCCTGTAAGGAATGATACTGAGGAAAAAAGAACAAAATTCTCCTTGAGGCGTTGGTATCTGCTTCAAGACGCTGTACATCCGCATATTGTGCCTGTGAAGGAGGCACTAGGAAACATCAGCAAAAGACATGTAATACACCCACTCCAAGTCTGGACCTTGGCCACTGTGATTTTAATCATTTTCTGTGCTTAAACCTGAGCTGTGAGGAGAGAAATTCAATGCCGACAGTGAAGTGAAACAAGCCATCACTGCTATCCTATGCAGGATATCTGGAAATGGCCTACTGGACATGTTCAAGAAGTAGGTGGGGCACTGCAAAAAATGTGTGGGATATGAAGGGCATTACTTCAAGAGAGGAACAGTTCAATAGCCTCAGGATTCATCAGATAGTGAACAATGTGAGTAGTCTCATTACTCAGACTCCCTTCTATCATCATCTGAACACAACACACAATGTGAAGAGCATGTACATTTGTCCTATGAAAGACTGCAAATTTGTAAATATTTGCCATCGTAATTCCAGTACAGAGCAGTCAGAATAAGAGGAAATACGATTCCTCAGATAGGCCTGCTACTTATTTGGCCTTATCAGTTGCCCTTTCTGTCAGTTCTGGAAGAGTTAAGGCAGAAGTCTTACTTTCTGTGTGCAGTTTAAGAGTTTATTTTTTCTTTAAAACCACTATTGCTCTCTGCTGCTCAGAGAGTATTTATTTTTTTCAATATACATATGAAAAAGAACTTAATGTGAAATGCAAGAAAAGCATCATCATCATCAAGTACCCTGATTAACCCAGGCCTACAAAATCTTGTGTGTCCAGAATTATTAATAAGTGGTGGACCACAGGGTCAGTGCTTGATAAAACATGGTATTGCAAGAAAACGGTGCTTACAGATTTGGAAATCTCTAGGATGGGCCTCACAAGAGACAGGTGCACCTGTAGGTTCTGCTTCTCAGGCAACTAAACTAATAAGGTTTCGTCCATATGGATCTGACTTGTGCATGAGTTTAAATGTTTTGGTGCTTTACAAGGGATTCAGTTTTTTAATTGGATACTGAAAAATGTACATAGTGGACTAGGTAGATCCTCAGCTACTGTTTGTGACTAAGGAAGCACATTTCCACTTAAACAGTTATGTAAATCCTCAGAACACACAAATCTGGAGTGATGAAAATTCCCATGCAGTACATCAGATTATCATTGGTCCAGTTTGCCACAAAACCTTGAACTTGGAATGTCATGTTAGGAATATATTGGAACCATTTTTTGAACAGCTGATTGATGGTGACAGGCAGTATGGCTACTTTCAGCAAGACAGTGCTGCTCTGCATGCTGCAAGGAATTCAATGAGTGTATTACAATAGGTGTTCAGTGGCAAGAAAATCAGTACAGAATTATGGCCTGCAAGATTGCTCGGTCTTAGTTTTTGTGACTCCTATTTGTGGGGGTGGCCTAAAAGGAAAAGTGTATGGAAACACACCTCACACTGCTGAAGCTCTCCAAAATGAGATAAGGTATGTGACTACATTGATTTCGGCTGACAAATCTTCACCATGTTTAACAGGGATTCCCTTCAAAAATGTGAGGTGTGTTTCAGCGCTGCCAGTAACTACTTTGAGCATTTTCTGTAATATCTCATGAGTTTCCTCCTACCTTTCAGTTTCTTGTGCTACATGAACAGGTTTGAACCCACAGAATGAGGACAGGTATTTTAGTATTGGTTCTGAACACACCTTCATGCATAACTTCTAGAATTGACTGACTACAGCTAGTGGAAGTTACAGTGTGTAAGACCGAATAAGTGACTGGCCTATCTTTGGTGTTATGAAATTTCCTCTTATTTTTAGTTCCCTGCATATGTATGAGGGGCAGTCAAATGAAAACAGGTCAAAAGCCAAAACATATTAAAGAACCTTTCTTACCTCAAAAGTAATTTCCAAGACTGTTAATATATTTATCTCACTGGGAGATAAGATGATCAATCCCATCCTTGAAAAAGCTTGTGGGCTGTCTACGGAACCACATCTTTACCCAGCCACACACGTCTTTGTCCGATGCAAACCAATGTCCACGAATGTTTGTCTTCAGGTCTCCAAAAATGTGAAAATCACATGGGGAGAGATCTGGGCTGTAGGGGGGATGTTGAAGCACTTCCCAACCAAATCTGTGTAGTGTATTCCTCACAGAGTTGGCAGTGTGGGGGTGCGCATTATCATGAAGAATGATAATGTCGTTCGATAGCATTCCAGGGCGTTCTGAATTTATGGCCTGTCTCAGTTTCTGCAAAGTGTCTTCATAGCGCTGTGCACTGATTGTGGCCCCATGCTCGAGAAATTCGACAAGCAGAGGACCCTTGCAGTCGAAGAAGAACATCATCATTACTTTACTGGAACTTGTGTGTATGGCTTTGGATTTCTTTGGTGAGGAAGAATTCACGTGTTTCCACTGTTGGCTCTGCTGTTTGCTCTCGGGTTCAAAATGGTGGCACCAAGTTTCATCCCCAGTGACAAAATGGGACAGAAAAGCATACTCTTCCTCATGGTATCGTTGCAAGTGACTCAAGTGATGCAGCCATTCCCTGAGTCTTCTGTTCCTCCGTGAATTGATGTGGAACCCACTGCGCGCAGATTGTGCAGTACAGCAGGTGTTTTGTCACTGTATGGAACCATGACTTATTCCCATCAAAAGACTAATTTCTTCCAAAGTGATCTGTCGGTTTGCCCAGATATGACCATCCAACGCGGCAGTAACATCAGGAGTGATCACACGATGAATCTGTCCTGGGCGAGCATCATCTTGCAGTGACACATGTCCCACTTTGAACGCGAATGTGACATGCTGTGTTCGCCATAAACAACAGACATGTGACGATTAATTTCTCATCCTCCTACTCCTTCAGCAGTCAAAAAGCGCACTACTCTTCGCTGTTCTTCTTTACCCGCCTCCATTACTGATGTTGGATGACCACACGTAGCGCTAACCTTACTACCATCACAATAAACAAACGACTAGTGTGCAAGGGCACGTTGTCACTGTGCTTTCCCGAGTCCCCACCAGATGTTTGTACCATAAGCAAATTCCAGTGTTACCAACTTGCGGGCTATGTGAGTTATGTGTGGTGACCCATTTTCATTTGACTGCCCCTTATAGAATGGTATTTAGACTTTATGTAAAGTGATAGCTTATGTTGTCTAGTATCACCATATTGTATTTGGTCAGTCACTTTGCTTAGTGGTAATTTGTGTGACGGTGTCATTAAATATTTGGTTCAAATTGTGGATGAGACATTGGTAATTCTAGAATCTTTAATGGCTTTCCTCAGTTCTTCCAACCATGCATTGATGTAGCGCAATGCAAAAATTTGTCACATTTGTTATTGTCATTTTTACCAGTTCATAATGCACAATCACATTCTCATCTGGTTTTATGTTAAATGCTCATTAAAGGGTTTATGAACCAAGTGACAGTTGTCCTGTGCTTGCTTTTGTGCAGGTACTAGCAATGAGGCAACAAAAAATATCCAACACTGAGTTGCTTTTCAGGGAAGGGATTAGGTAGAAGTCATTTGTTGAGGGTAGATGAGATGAGGATGAGACTAAGTCCCTTATACTACAGCCAGAAATAAGCCTTTTGTAGTAGCCTCAAGTGATGAAAATGATAATATGTGAGCAAGGAGCATTATCATAATGATGGAATAACAAGGAAAACCTAAACCTGATGTTGATTCTGTTCTTAGATTGTTACACGGTGTGGATGTGGGTGATATTTTCAATGTTTTCAGAAGCACATGCTGACTCCATCCTCAGGGTCAGTGTATGTAGGTTAGCAGGTTTTGAAAATGATGGGGGAAGGGGGAAAATCGATTTGGTATTGGTGCCTTTTCGGGGACAGTAGGGACAATGTACCAGGAAAATTGTGTAAATGGCCCTTTTAAGGGCTCTGGTGTATGTAAAGAATCTAATTGAAAACTGATGTTCTCAAGTGGTTACCCATTCAGTTGCTCACCGGGCATAATATTGGATCTCTTTTGTGCTGTGGGTTGTGGTGGTGAGATCACTGTGAGTCAAGGGAAAGTTTCAGCCTGGGTGGAAGGGAAGAAGCAATCAGGAAGAAGGGTGGGCATCCTGTTTTGAGAAGCAGTAGGGTGAGGGGGGTTCAGCATGTACCCCCAAAAGTCAACATCATCACCCACATCTACATTGTGTAAAAACCCAACAGCAGAATCAGCAGAATTATCTACCATGAAGGCTTAAAATCTGTGAAAACCGAAGTACTGTGAGAAGGGGATGCACCAGTTTTCTCCATCCATCACATATACAACATGGACTGCTCTAGGTTATAACTTGGGACTCCAAAGTGAGAAACCATTAATTGACTGTCTGAACTGTGGTAGAGCCTGTTAGCAGTTTGATTTGTAACCTTAACTTCTGTTATGTTCTTCAGAAGACACATTCTGAATATGAGGCAGAAGGCATCTTATTGTGCAGGCTTCTATGGAAGCAGTTGTATTTATGTACAAGCTTTAACAGTGCTAAAACTAAATAAATCTATGCAATGGAATAGGCTGACAGATGAAAATGTCATGTGAGTTGTTTGATTGGTGACAATAAATAGCACAAATGACTTGAAATAATATTAGAGTCAATTTTACTGACTACACAACACGTTTTTATTATTATCACACTACATGTTTCACCCTCAAGAGGTCATCCTCAGGTGTATGAACAACTGTATAATTACACACACTCACATTCGTTTTTCCACTTATTCGACCCTGTATCTTATTCAGGCTTACGCTCAATGATATATCAAGCTCTTCTTATAAAACACAAGTTAAAATATTATTCTAAACGTTAAAATTTAAAAATTTTAAAATTTCCTGAATCGAAGTTCGACTCAGATCACTGGTTATACTTTCACTTTCACTTGTTTTTCAGTCACTTCCTACTTACTACATGTAGTGTGATAATAATAAAAACGTGTTGTGTAGTCGGTAAAATTGACTCTAATATTGATTAAATACCCAACGGGATGCAAGAAACAATTAAAGTGACTTGAAATAGTTGACATTCACAGTGCAAGCTGAACAAGCATGTTAGTAAGTTACCATGCTTTGACACTTTCTCTGTGTATTAATTTCTTTTCATTGTCCCTAAATAATTCTGGTCTAGAAAACCGAAATTAATGGCCGTAGGGATTTGTTGTGCTGGCCAAGCGACACCCTCTGTCTGCTAAATTTGGTGCTAACTTCGCTGACAAGCGGTGGTTGTTCGGTTGGTATAATTTGCTTGCAGACTAAAGCCACGGAGTTTTTTGTCCTTAAATAATGTAATGTGAAGGTAGAAATATGGAAAAATTATACAAAAATGAATTTGTATTGCCCAGTGAATTAAATTGAATGATGCACTGAAAGGAGAAAATTATTGTACTTTATGGTAATGGATACTTGTCCACCTTCAGTCACATTTCTCAGCAGTAGGGCTGATTATGTATGAACATTACATTTACTTTTTAATTTTTTCTAATACAGTTTCTCATAGAATAAGTATTTAAGATTATTCCATGTGACTTTCTCCAAATCACTGATAAGCAGTGAAAGTTCAGTTATTCTGTGTACAATCTCATGTTATGTAATCCACAAATAGAAATTCTTGAGTTCGATTAAGTGACATTTGAGGCTGCCTTGCGAACTTTGTGCATGTTATTTGTAATTGACCTCTCTAACATTACTTGCATTTTATTGCAGCTGTTCTGTTGCGTGGACTGGATGTTCTATCTACTGAAGACTCAGTATTACAAGCAATTAAATCAATTTCTTCTGTTCCGATACGAAGTATTCGCATTGGTCAAGATCCTCTCACCAACACTTCACGAGGGGTCTGCTATCTGGAGATGAATCATGTGATGGATGCTGTTTATATGCATAATGCATTAGTGGCAAATTCTCCAGTTGTGGATGGGAAGAAAGGTAAGAACTTGTGCCAATAGTGAAAGTTTTAACTACTAAAATTGTTTGCTTAGGTACATACTTGCCTTAGGAACCAACCTAACATAGTGGAAATACCAAATTTAATTTTGCTCTTCATTAACAGTGGAACACAGCACATGTAGGTGTAATTTTGTATCTGTTCCATTGCTTATATTACATTAGCAACAAGGGTGAACAACAACAATGGCAATGACAAATAATCCTCCTCCTTTCCCGTAATAACCTTTAATGTATGGACTTTTAAATTGCTGGGAGCCCTCTGCGGCCAGAATTTAAATCGCCATAATTAATTAACACAGCAAATGTTCAGAAAAAACTACATATTTTCCTTTCTATGCAACAGAGATGTACAAATTAAAAACAACCCGAAAGACAATAAAATTTTCTACATATACACAAAAGAGCAACTTTTACAAACGAAAATTAACTGTGACTATTTTGTCAAGAAATGCAAAATAAAATCTTTATTGTGTTATGAAATTCCAGAGGATTTACCTGTAGTCCTTTTTTTCAACTTTGAGACTTAGTGATATTCTAAATATAATCACACTATATACAATAATATTTTGTTCAGACTGTACGTGAATTTGAATTGCATCACTTCACAATTTATGATACCTCACACTCTGACGCGCGTGCCACTTCTCGAAGCAGTCCATGACACACAACACAACATCACACTTGTAATATAATATGGTGCTCCTGCTTTTCTTATTTAGCAAAACACATGACGTCTTTGTTTCCCTTTTGTTGGCCAGTGTTGTGAATGTTTCACCTCCAGTCAACTCAGTCGGGCCTCAGATAACCTTGGCCTCCCAAGAGAAACGCCACTGACCGTGATGTTTGCCTTGTGCGATTGAAGAATCATCTTAGTGTAGGGGAGTTTCCAGCAAAATTGAATAAATTATGTTGATTGACAAGGCGACACTCAGCTGCTAGTAATACAAAATAGTGATGCAATGTAATTATAATACTAATCGAAAAGAGTGCCAGTCTGACACTGATACCGAAAGTCACAGTGGCAAAGTATTTTCAAACCCAAGATCAAACTGCCAGCACTCCCAAAGAGAGCAGGGTCCTACTGCGTATAAATATAACATTCGGCCAACGCGAGGTGCTGCTTGCTGCATATATATATGTATATTGTCACGTGTTGGGTGTATAACGCGACAGATAACTTCACGCTGTATTTGATATAGCGAATTTTATTTCACATTCGCACTTACAGTCACCCAAATTACAATCTGACAATTACTGCCATCGGCAGTATCACAAATACTGCACTGCAAATGCCAGAATACAAGTGACTGGTTGCTGGCTAACTCGTTACTCTCCGCTGGGTAAATGGAGAACTCTGATCACACACTCACTCTGAATAGTCTTCACTGCTTTGTATCTAGCCTCGTTCCGGACAACTCAGAAAACAGCCACGTAATAGGCACCATTGTTGCCTGACTCCGTGTTTACCGGTGTTACTAGTAACGCTGTCGGGAGTTGTCTCTCGCAACCACTGTTTACCCGCGTTGCATAGCGACCAGCGTGCCGGGACTTGGCTCGCTTCGGCTCCGCTCGGCTCACATCGGCTCCACCCGGCACATCACCGCTGGGGGGGATAGGGGAGGGAGGATGTTGACCTGCCTATTACCATTGCGCAACACGTCACAATATATATATATATATAAAACATTCGGCCATTAAAGGTTAAACCTGTCAACATAGATATAAAATTTTCACGCAGTGCTGTTCTTTGTATGTTTGTTTAATATTTGCATTGATATATTTAAACATTCATAATTAATTGTGCATATATGATATCATTTTAAAATTTGTTCACAAAGAGCTGGAGAAATTATGACTTTAATAGCATACATTTTTAACTTAATATTATATTTTAATGTCGTATTGTGTGTGAACTATTTATTATATGTTCTGTCAGCACAATTCCCATATGAATTGAATAAATTTATACTGCTTTCATTTTAGAACTTGATTCAGCCATTCAGGCCATCATCATGTGAGCCATTTTACATTAACACTCTACGTTTTCTGCAATTATTCCCTTGCATTGGCCATTGTTTACAAATTTACAATTTTGTGTCATTTATAGTATTAATGCCAACTATAATTTGTACCAACATTCATATGTAAACTTAAAATATTACGTTGAAATTAATTCTTATTTTAAATTAAGACAGAATAAAATGAAATAGATAATTATTGTTGAAATGAAACAACTAAAAAAAACTAGAT